AATACAAAGTGTACAGTACTCACTTTATATTTATTTTTGATGACATATTTGCACCTATAAAAATAGTATAAGATGAACTGAAAAACAAGTACTGTAGGGCAATCTCCATCATGAAAGTGCAACTTATTGTAGTTTTTTGTGCTACATAACTGCACTCAAAAACAAAACAATGTAAAACTTTAGCACTTACAAGTCCACTCAGACCTACTTCTTGTTCAGACAATCGCTAAAAGAAACAAGTTGGTTTACATTTATGGGAGACAATGCTGCCCGCCTTCTTAATTACCGTGTCACCTGAAAGTGAGACCAGGCGTTCGCTTGGCACTGTTCTAGCTGGTGTCACAAGATATTTACGTGTCAGATGCGCTAAAGATTCATATGCTTCTTCATACATCGGCCACCATTCCAGAGGACCTACTTCCATGCTGCTGATGCTCGTTAAAAAAAATAATGCGTTAATTACATTTGAGACTGAACTCCTTGGGGGAGAACTGTTTGTCTCCTACTCTGTTTTACCTGCATTTCAGCAATATATTTCATGTTATAGCAGTCTTGGATGATGACCCAGCACATGTTGTTCATTTTAAGAACATTTGCACTGCAAATTTGACAAAAATGTAAAGATGATACCAATGTGAAATTTCTAAAGATAGCTACAGCACTCGACCTAAGATTTAAGAATCTGAAGTGCCTTCCAAAATCTGAGAGGGATGAGGGGTGGAGCATGCTTTCAGACGTCATAAAAGAGCAACACTTTGATGCGGAAACTATAGAACTCGAACCAGCAAAAAAGAAAATCAACCTTCTGCTGGTGGCATCTGACTCAGATGATGCAGATGCACATGCGTCGGTCCGCACTGCTTTGGATCATTATTGAGCGAAGCCCATCATCGGCATGGACGTATGGTGACTGAAGCATCAAGAGACATGAATCTTTAGTGCATCTGGCACGTAAATATCTTGCAACACCATCTACAATAATGCCATGCAAATGCCTGTTCTCACTTTCAGGTGACACTGTAAACAAGTAGTAGTCAGCATTATCTTCCACAAATGTAAATAAACTTGTTTGTCTGAGTGACTGGCTGAACAAGTAGCAGGATTGATTGGACTTTTAGAATTATGTACAAAAATAATCTGCGTTCAAAAACAACAATGTAAAACTTTAGAGTTTGTACATTTGTACATTCAATTTTCATGATAAAGAGATTGCACTACAGTACTTATATTACGTGAATTGAAAAATACTCTCTCTTTTGTTTTACAGTGCAAATATTTGTAATAAAAATATGAAGTGAGCACTGTACACTTTGTATTCTGTGTTGTAATTTCAATTACTATATTTGAAAATGTAGAAAACATCCAAATATGTAAATAAATGGCACACGATCAAAAGATTAATTTTTCATCTCCCCAGCCCTAGTTTTAATGCCTCCGAACAGAATAAAATAAATGAGCTCATTAATTACTAACCAATTCTCAGCACAAGGCTTAGGAAACAGTGCACTGTTCACGTCCTGCACCTGGTGGTCAGGGGCACAAAGAGACCACCCCAGCTCTACTGGGGGCAACCGCTCAGTATCTAGACGGCTGTGTTTCCAGAGACGTGCAAGTGTGGGGATTCCCAGGTAACCCAGAGCTTGGATTACACCAGCTGGACAGTAGATGTTGTCCCTGTTGGTCCAGCCAAACCCACACAATGTATGTGCCACTTTTACATGCCACTAAATATCAGATTGCACAGGCTATGGGAACTCCTCTCCAGACTCCCTCCAAAAGGATCAATGACTCTCCAGCCAGGTAGGGTGCTTTCCCTGCAAGCTGCATAGCCCTTGCTAAATATACCCCAGCTCACCATGTCCCTAGGAGCCCAGCTCCAGCAGCCTCATGGGACTTTCTTCTTCTCCCATAGGAATATCCCACTGAGCCACACATTCCAGGGAAGAGAACAAAGTGCTCATCCCCAAGATATCACAGGGATTGTAAGCATGTGGGCGTGCATGGCCATCCCCCCTGTCAATCTCCTAGGGCAGCCACACCTCTCCACTATCACACTTAAAACAAGGGGGAATTTAGCTATCTCTAGGACTCAACCCCTCAGCCCAGGCAGGACACCAGATAGTCTGCAGATCTTAGCTCAGCAGACAGGAGACCAACACAGGCCTCCCAGCCTAAGGTGGGGAGGCTACCACCCCAGGTGGCAGGAGGACCCAGGCCCACCCAACTCCCTGGGTCCCACTCCAGGCAGTGGCAAAGTGTCCCACCACTGGGTCAGCAGGGATCTACCCACAACACACTGACCTGTCTTTAGGCAGCAACACAGCCTGACTACCATCAGCTGTCCCTGAGCTACTTCCTCCCCTCCCCTCCAGCTGTACCTGAGTCCTAGGGTCATCCTCCACCTCCCCAGGATACACAGCCAGGGGCAATCCCAGCTCAGCATCAGCCAGGTCTAGCAGCTCTGGAGAATCCTCAGGGCAGTAGAAGTCCTCTGCAGGCACCTACACCAGCAGCAGGGAAAACACAGCCATCTCCCTTGACAGCTCCAGCCCAACTGGGGCGCAGGGCCTGCCTTTTATACTTCCCATCCCTGCCCCGCCCCTCTGCTCCATGGGTGTGGCCTTCCTGGTTCCACCCACCAGGGGGCGTCTGGCGGGCCCTCGCTGTCAATCTCCAAGGGCAGCCATGCCTCTTTGCTACAGGGGCCAGGGCAGGCATCCCTCCCCACTCCTGCCTGGCTTCTGGAGGCCGCTTGATTTGCTGCCCTGAACCTAGCTGTGCAGACCCTGTCTTTGCCTGGTCTGGTTTCCCTCCCCATGACCAAGCGGAGGCATTGTGTTCAAAGACACTGCGCCAGAATGGTGAGGGCAGGAGGGCGCAGCAGAGAATGCACCTGCAGTGTGAGAGTCAGGGGAGCCCAGAGAGAGAGGGACCAACATGGGGTTTTAGATTATTCACCCCTTTCTTAAAAATGGGACATTTCCCATCTGCATCAGAAGGGCAGATCAGTTGGCTTCAAAAGGGGGGATGGATGCAAAAATCCAGGGTGTGTTTATGCACAGGACAGGGGCACCATTCATTCCCTCTAAGAAGCCTGTGATTCCCCCGCAGAAATAAAAATAGACAGGACCAGCATAGGGGTGGGTGACCACCCCGGGTGGAAACATCAGTGCTTAATTTGTGCCGGGGATTGCTGGGGCTGAGGCATGACACCTCTCGGCTCGGCAGTCCATAGCCCTGGCACCTGTGGGCTCCCAGCCAGCAGCCGCTGCTCTCCAGCTGGCAGAGGCAAGAGGCAAGGAGAGGGGCGGGAGAGGGGTGCAAGGTCACAGAAGGCAGCTTGGTGCAATGGGGCAGGGGAGGTAGCAGGCCTGGGGGTGGGGAGCCCAGGGAGGCAGCAGCAGACAGCGGCAGTGGGGGGATGGACGTGGGGGCCAGGGTGATGGATGGGGAGGCAGCGGGGGCCAGGGGCACGATTATCCTTTAGGCCAGCCCTGAATATCCCTCTCTGCCTGATGAAGAGAAGGGATGTGAGGAGGAATCTCCTACTGCCCGGGCGATGGGCCACAGAAATTGGGGGCAAGGGGCTCCCTCACGCTTGCCTGGTGAAGTTGTTCTACTTGGCTTAACTATTCTTTGAGCCAATGGCAAAACAAGCCTCTGGCAGCAGGCTGGTGGTTAGGCTGCAGGCCTGGAGCGTGGGAGACGATAGTTCAGATCTCCCCCTTGGGCTGCTGTAAAGGAGTTTGAAGTGAGAGCTCCTGGGCGTTGTGCTCAGGGTGTTGCCTCTTGAAGCTGTTCCAATTGAATTAACTATTCTTTGGGCTGGGCCAGCGCCAGGACTCCCTCTGCAGACCCAGGGTTAGGCTATGGCAGGTTCAAATCCCCTGCTGAGAAGCAGTTTGAAGAGGGCTCTCCTGCAGCCTGGGTGTGCGCTTTGAGGGATAGTGCTGAGTGAGGGGTTCCCTCACTCTCGCCTTCTGAAGTTTCACTTGATTTAAGTGTCCTTCAGGCCACGCCAAAAGCCAGAGTCACTCTATAGTCTGGTGGTTAGGGTGCTTGCTTGGGCTGTAGGAGAGGCTGGCTCAACTTCCTGCTGCCTGGTCAGCAGGGGTTTCTACAGGGATTTTCTGCCTTCCTACTGATTGCCCTTTGGGGTGTGACATCCTTTCCCCCTCCCTTTCTCAGGAGGCCATTGTCCTCTGGGGACAGGGAGGGGATTTGGACAGGGCTTGCCCACCTCTGACTCTCCCTGGGAGGTGGGAGTCCCCAGTTCACACCCCTCAGCAGAGAAGGGGAGTGACCTGGGGTCCACACAGCCTGAGTGTGTATCCTAGCCACTGGGGACAAAAGAGTGATTTGGGTCTTTTGTATGGCCCCCAATTACTCATTAATTAAACCAGCATGAGTTCCTCTGTATAGTCCACAGCTGATTTATAAGGGCCTGCACCGCAGGCACCAAATCCCCTTTACTGAGGCAGAGGCGGGATTTGAACCAGAGTCACTCACATCCCAGAGAAGTGCTCTAACCCCCAAACCCGAGAGGCAAGTTTTAGCCCAGTTATTATGTAGTTAGAGTGGACCAGCACCAATAGAAAAGACTGAGGGAGCCCCAGGTCAGAATATGTCCCAGTCCAGCACTTAGACCCTTCACTTGCGAGGTTAGAGAGCAATGGTCAAATCCCATCTCAACCAGCAGCTCACTGATCTGGGGGGAGGTACCCAAACCACTGGGCGACTGGGACTGCCCCAATTATCATTTAATGAAGGTGGACCAGCTTCAACAGGAAAGTCTGAGGGAGTGCCCAGCTCAGAATACCTCCCCCTCTGGCACTTAGGCCATTCACTTAAAAGGTTAAAGTTCAAACCCCTTTTGCTTATGGGGATGGAGGGGGAGGAATTTTACCTGCTGGGTTTGTGTTCAGAATTGTCTGATGTTTCTGGACAGAAAAAGAAACTGATACAGGGCAGAGAAACCGGCTGACTCAAACCCACCTTGGTACAAGCTTTAACCCTCTCTCAGCAGGAGCTTTATTGAGGCAAAGAAGTACTGAACCGATTTTACAAAGGAAAGCCATGAAAAGGATTTGTATAGAGGTGCAGGGCTGAGAGGGTTAATGTCTCCGGTGCAAGGGGCTTGGCTCCTGGAGAGAATTCCCTCGACTCCGACAGAGCACTGGGCAGGAAGCCTCTTTCCAGACAGTCCAGGCAGCTCTGGAATTGGAAAGAAAAAATACAACGGGTTAAATCAGCCGGGAAGTAGAGACCTGCAGACCAGTTCTCAGCTCAGTGCTGCGCCCTCTGCTGGTGCACACAGCACTCCTCTTGCACAAACACACCCTGCAGACACACACCCCACAGTGGGGATAGGCCACACCTACCGGGCAATCCCATTCTCAGCCCCTTGAGCCATCTGATTGGCTGAGAAATTTTCGTCCCAGCGTGCCGCTGCACTGTGTGGATGTCAATGCTGTTTCCTCACATTGGATCAGACCCAAAAGGTTTGTGCCACCTGGATCCTTTCCCCCGCACCCCACCCCACGTCCTGGCCTCTCCCAAACTGCTCTACAGACACAGCCCGCACAGTGTGTAGAGCCCAGCCCCAGCCCTTCCCTCGGGTCTGGCTTTACCTAAGCAATAAATACATGCATAAAGCTCAGACTCAGACATTCTCCACAGGCTGGGAAGCTCCTAGGACTCCTCTCTCTAGGATGCTCAGTCCACACCCTAGATCCTCTGCCTCCCAGAGAATTCCTCCCATCTCCCTTATGTCCTGGTGGGGTACTGAGCCTCCTGCCCCAGGGAGTCAGCAGAGCCCACTGAACCCTTTCCTAGCAGGATGGACACGTGTTAACGGTGCGGTGCATCTGGCATCACCACCAGCCTGATACACCACACAGCCCACCTATCCACGCTGCCTCCCACTCCCCACTGCTCTCCCTCTGTTCCACGTACCTGCAGCTACAGCTCATCATCGTCACCTTGTCTAAGGAAACAGAAGGAAAAGAGAGAGAAAGTAGCATCAGCCTGAACCAAAGCAGCCAAGGGGAAAGTGAATGTCCCCGGCCCTTGAACATCTACAGACTCTCACTAAAGAGAAGACGTGGGCTGACTGACTTGGACAATTTAAAATGACACCAACCTCCTTCTTTTCTTTGCTCCGCAGCGGAATCGCCGACCTGGAAACAAGAGATAGAGTCTGAGGCCTCCTACGCTTTGGCTGATGCTGCCCCTCCCCAACCCAGTGCTCCCTGGCCCCATCTCGGTGCTCCCTGGCCAACACACCCCCTCATTGCTCTCAGTCTCCCACCCCACCTTCTGCTGCTCCTGTCTCTTTGATGCAATAATCCTGCTGCCCCTGTGGGACAATGAGCCCCTCCCCTGCAGCCTCTGCCTTCTCAGCTCCGCGTGGCCTCTGCAGCCATCGTGTAGGGACCAAGGCCACTGTGGTGGGAACTCTAGGCACAGCCCTGGTTCAACAAGCACCAGAGTCTGGCTTGGGATCCCCAAAGCTGTGGGGCTGGCCGCCCCAGGGCAGTGGGGATGGGGGCAGGGTCAGATCCGTGCCCGTCTCTGGACTGACCCCCAGCTTTGTTTTTTGAGCCACCGGGTCTTGGTTTAGTCCCGTAGTTATTTTCCTCCTTGTTTGACTCCAATGTTGGGCAGCCGCCTGCCCCTGCCCAGCCGGGAGGGAGGTGCACTCTGGGAACGTGCTCTGGGCTCTCCCCCACCGGCCTGTGCGTGCCAATGGGACACGTCAGCCTCCTTGAGCTCTCTGAACAAACGCCCTGTTCAGCCAAACGCTCCCACAAGGCCCAGCCAGGCTCGGACACCAGCTGGGAGAGCCTGGGCTGGGAGCTGCCCTGAGCACAGCAATGAAGAGCAGCCGAGCGTCTGGCACCCACATGGAATACGCTGTTATTCCCATCTGCAGAGTGTGCAGCATTTGGGGTTAGTGGGTGAGACTCATAGCGTGGGTTATTAAAGAGCCCATGGCACTTTGCACAGAGGCCGGGATGCTGACCCAGTCTTTCTGGCCAACTCCACCCCAGGTCGTTCCATTCTGCATCTCTTGCTAAACTGCTGCTGCAGTTTCAAGTGCATACAGTTTTCTCCTTCCCTTTCTTCCCTATAGCGCTGTGCACTGTTACTGTGTTTCATCCCAGAGCTGGCTGCCTGTCAGCCGTGGGCAAAGTGTCCCCTGGGTATATGTGGCTAGGTTTGCAAAACAGCCCAGCATGCTGGGTCACCAGTGAGTCTGCAGGAGCGGAGCATTTTGGAAAACCTGATTTCTGCCTCTAGAAATGTCAGATATTGTTGCTTCCAATTTTAATTGGTGACCTTTTCACCCTGAGCCTTAAAGCTGGCAGGAAAATGCAAAATTGCTTCTGCAAATATTTGCATAATCTCCTCCCCACCCCACCCCCATTTTCTGTCGGACTCTTGCCTTGATGGAAATTTTCCTACCAGCTTCTACTAAAGATTAACTCGCACCCAAATCTGCATCTAAGTTCTGAACCAGGTACCCAGCCTCTGGCCCCCACCTCAGAGGGGCCTCCTGCAGGGAGAACAAAGAAGAGGGGAGATATGAGAGATAGAAGCCATTGTTCTCACTGATGTCCAAGCCCAGGGCGCAGGGAGGGCAGGGGAGGCCAGGTTAAACATTTCAGGGAAAAAGAAAAGGAGGACTTGTGGCACCTTAGAGACTAACCAATTTATTTGAGCATGAGCTTTCGTGAGCTACAGCTCATTTCGTCGGATGCATACTGTATGCAGCATGAAGTGCTCACGAAAGCTCATGCTCAAATAAATTGGTTAGTCTCTAAGGTGCCACAAGTACTCCTTTTCTTTTTGCGAATACAGACTAACACGGCTGTTACTCTGAAACCTGTCATTTCAGGGAAAGTTAAGTTCTAAGCGTAGCTGACAAATGGAACTGCCCTTGCTGGGGTCCTTCAGGCCCTAGGCCTCTAGCCCCCTCAGCCATGCGATGGTTTAAGGATAATGGACCTCATCCTGCCACAAAGCAGGGGCATGTTAGCAGGCCCTTCCGACCCCGCCGTCTGTGACGCACACTGAGGCAGGGCTCTGCTTGCCTGTATCTGTGCACACAGCACGGACACACCCTCCCCTCCCTTCCCCTGAACGAGGCAGCCATGTGCAGCATAGCTGGGGGGCAGAGAAGAGCCCCCACGTGACCCCGGCCTTTGGGCTTGCGGGAGACCAGTCTGCAGCCCCCCAGTAGTGACACTTACTGAGGATGATGAGGAGTCCGACCACAAAAGCCACCACGGCGAAGATCAGCCCCCCATTCCGAATGGTCTCGTAATCTCGGAACGAGAGAGAGACACCTGTTAGCCTGGCGGAGCAAAGGGAGCCGGGCCGGGGTGGGGAGAGTCGCATCTCACCGAGCTCTGAAGCTCTTGGGTGAGCAAGAGTTATCATCTGCCGCTGGGGTGGCCCGTGCCTTCACTGCAGCTCCAGAGCCAATGGCAGCTGGGCTTGGGTCACAGCCTTATCGCAGCGCCTTGAGGGGCTTTGTTCTGATTCCCAGTGCCACGCAGCTTGGTGTCAGGCCCCCCCTGTGACACACGTGTGACAGGTCTGCGTGCCACCAAAGGCATCCCACGCAGCTACCCACAGGCTCACCGAGCTGCGCGACTGGCTACAGGATGGTTACTGGGGCTGGCACTGCCTAGAGATCCATGGGCTAACCATGGGGTAGAAGGGTGACCTGGGGGCTAAGGTTCATGTCAAGATCTGGGCTCGATCCTTGGCCCATCCCAGACCTGTGTGACCTGTGTGACCAGGGGTGAGCCACTGAATCTGCTTCAGCTCCCTGCCAGCACCCAGGGGCCAAAAGCACTCCCCCTCAGTCCTATTGATAGGGTAATGATGTGGGGCAGGGGCCATCTCTTCCACCGTGTTTGGAGCACAGGGGGACTCGAACCACTGGACAAAGAACTACAGACCAAAGGCCGGGGCAGCCGGGTCCTCGTGGGACGGTGCAGAGACGAGTCTTACCATAGGTGAACTTGTCAGGCACCTGCTCGGGGACGATCTCTGGAAAAAGAGGGAGCAGTTCGGTGAGGAGCCAATGGGGTGGGGTCCCAAAGCTGCTGGTTTATCGTAGCTCCTTGACACGAGGGAGCTGCTATGGATCGGGCTCCCCGCACCCCAGACTCCGGGCCTAGCTGCCCCAGGGAGGGCAGGTCTCCTGAACAGTGCCCAGGGCTCCACGGGAGAGCTGGGAAAACAGCTGATGCGTCCCTGCCCATGGCCGCCAAGAAGAGCCTTCGGGGCAAGCCAGCACAGTGATCCCAGGCTACAGCAGCCACACTCTGACTGGCTGACGGTGAAGCCCTGTGGGATCTTGTGGGGCTGCTGGCAGTGGAGACTGGGAATGCCGGGGATAGATCCTAACCTAGCCCACAAAACCAGCTCCCAGTGGCTTCCACAGCGACCATTACACACCTGTCCCCAGTGCCAGAGAGTCTGCAAGTCCCGTGTACCTCCCCGCCCTCTGCCCACCTGCCCAAGGTCAATGTGGGTGCGATTCATTTTCAACAGCATGTTTCTAAATCTACCCTTCAGCTTAGACCTGAAGACCCTTCCCCCGCAACCTCCCCTTATTCCAGCCCTCTCTTCCCCCAACCCCACCTTATTCCAGCCCTTTCTCTCTTGAACATCTGTGCCAATGCACTTCCTCTCTGACCCACAGGCCCTCCCTGCTAGTCCCGTCTTTGGTCTCCCAAACTGATCTGCCGATGCAGCTCTGGTCCAACCTGCACCAGGGCCTGCTATCCTGGTCCTGGCCTCCCATAGCTCCGCCAAAGGACCACAGTCCTAACCTATAATCATGCTGTGTGAGCCAAACTTTCGCTCTACGTATAACTGCTTGCTGGCCCTAAATAGTACCTTCACCAGGGCCACATAAATACCTAGGGATCAGCTGAGAGTGGCAGGCTTGGGCACTCCGATCAGGGCACACAGCACTCATGCCCAGGGCCAGGCGATCCTGAGCACGACCTCTGGAGACTCTTCCATGCTGGGATTTCACAGCCAGTCTAGGGAGGGCTCCACTTCACAGGCTAGTGCTACTGGCACGTGTATAGCCCCAAAGCTCTGCAAGCCTACAGTCCCAGATCACCAAAACCTGCTCTGAACGGACAGATTGTAACTGCTGCTGCTGCTTGCCAGGCACCTGCACAGCCCAGCACCCAGTGCGCCAGGAGCAGCATCTTTGGGGAGTCTTAAAACCTAGCAGGATCCCTGGTCCCCAGAGAGAGCTCTGTGAAGGGAACAGGTCGTGAGGGCAATGGAGAGTGGAGCGGGGGTGGAGTAAGGACACGGTTGATTTCACAGGCTACATAACACAAAGGTCTCCCTTGGGGCGCATGATTGGCTTTCCAAAGAGTCCTCAGCAAACTCCTATGTTTTACAGACCATTTTTTCCATCACGGGAAGCAGCTAGAGATAGGTTGGATTCCAGGTCCCTGGGATTGGGGGGGCAGGGGAATTGGTTTCCAGAATCAAACTTCCTGGGTGGATCCAAACACCCCTAAAACTTTGGGCAAGTTCCAATCTCGACCGTGTCTAAAGCAATGTGTTCAGGAGGAGGAGGAAAAGGTTAACCTGGGTAGAGTAACGTTACACAGCTGCAATCAGTCACTGGCACATTCAATATTCACCTTCTAACCTGCCTTTCCAACTCAATTATTTCTCAACACGCGCGGAGCACTGGGTAGAAAACAGCCGATAACTCAGACTCTTATTCATCTGCCTGCCATCACCTTGCCTTTTACAGTGCTGGCTTTGTTTGTAGGTGGGGTGGGTGGGCCTTGTTACTCACTGCCTATTTCAAACAGGGCACATGGGGGTTGGGGGAATAAGACAGAAAAGAGGGATAAAAAGGAAAGCGCAAGAATTGTCACAGATTCACATCTCCATTTTAACCATGGGCAGATTTACTGCTTAGCCTGTGTCCCCCTGAATGGCTCCAGGGTGTCTGGGGACTGTGGAACAAACTCCTCCTAAGGAACCTGTGTTTGCACAAGTCAGCCACCATTTGTGGGTGTTACATCACCGACACCCCGGTTTCACACAGTGCCCGCTTGTAATCTGAGGCGGCCAGCAATTCCCACTCCCTTTGGTGAAATGGCAGGGCAGAAGCTGGCCTCCTGACTCCTCAATACCACAGCACAAATGCCCCAGGCTGGAACTACGGGTTTCTGCTCAGACGGGTCACACAATAATACACTGCGCCGACCCCTCCTTCTGTCCCCTGGCAGCTTTTCTCTGCTCGAGGTCCCCTTCCCTTGCCACAGAGTCCTACGGTGAGAACAACTGCGAAGGGAAAATCCCTCTACAAAAATACTGACCCTTCCTAGAACTAGTACTCCCTCTGCTGAGGGGAGAGCTCTTGGGGTATTTGGGTATCTCTCCTGAATCCTTCGAAGGTTTCCCCAGCTCAGCCTCTGGGCACAGCCCTCTTTTCTTGTGAGAGGATGAGATCACTCCAAGCACTAGGATAAGGCATCTAAAAGCATCAGCCAAAAACTTTACACCTGAGAGCCTAATGGCCGGCTCCTGATCCCTTGTGAAGCTCCACCCAGAGAGCAGCCTGGCTTCCCGAGGCACTGAGCATCCTCAGGCCAGTGGGGCAGGAGCAGCCTGTGCTCAGCACCTTTGACAATCAAACCACTCTGCTGATTTAGACGTCTAACTGGGCTTTAGGCCCCCACATCTCAGAGCATTGGGAACACTTCCCTGCTAAAGAGCCATTCAGGTCTGTCTGTCTGCACAAGCATAGAGTGCTGTCTGCCTGCCACGCCTGCCAGCAAAACCTGAACTCCAGTTGCAGAGAGGGTAAATGAATGGCAGCGTGCTCCCAGGTACAGCCCGGCAGAGTGCAGCCTGCCTCTGACAGGAGCAAGTTTGTCCCTGGGAGCTGAAGAGCAGCGAGACCCTTACCGTCAGCCATCTTCCCAGTGAGCCGTCCAGCGGTGCCTTGGCCTGGGCGCGTGCACCACCGGGAAAGCATATTAATAGGGGGCGGGTGGACAAACGCCATTAAACATTAACGGCCTCGGTATAATGTTTATCCCAGTCACAAGGTGAGGCACATGGCCCAGACCCAGGTTTTGGAAACATCAGACACCTTGAGGGGCAAAGGAAAGAACAAACCCCTGCAACCAGCTCTCTCCAGTTCACACGAAGCGCAGGGGCTGAGCCGGACGCACCCTCAGCCTCTGTTTGAAAGGCCAGTGGGAGTGTCATGGAGTTCAGCGAGGGGCATCTCAGCTCTGACAGGCCCAGCAGGGTGAGGGGAAGGGCTAATAACTAATTAGGGCACTTTTCATTCTCCAGGGGCTTGGCAGACCTTCCTACTCAGCCCCCACAAGCTCTGCCTGCTGTGTCCTGTCATTATCCCCATGTTATGGGGGGAAACTGAGGCGCAGAGCGGGAAAGGGACTTGGCCGAGGTCACCCAGTGAGTCAGTGGCAGACCTATGGGATTTCCTGGCTCCGGCCCTTGGCTCTGATCTCTTGATCATGTTTCTTGGCTGGCTACTGGCTAGCAAAGTAGGAGGGGAAGGGGAATCCTACCCCACCACCACTCTGGCAGCTTGGTGGGGAGAGAGGGGTCCTACTAAGGCCAAGCCAGAGTTCAGCATTGCTTGGACCTCCTGCAGGCCCAATGTCTAAGTTGCTGATGGGGCAGCCTGCCCCAATCCCAGTCCTTCGGAAGAGATACAGTGGAACCTTAGAGTTATGAACACCAGAAAGTTGCAAACTGACCAGTTAGCCACACACCTCAAGTGGAACCGGAAGTACACAATCAGGCAGCAACAGAGACCAACAACAAAAAAAGAGAAGTGAATACAGTACAATAGCGTGTTAAACATAAACTACTAAAAAATTTAAGGGAAAGCAGCATTTTCCTTCTGCATAGTAAAGTTTCAAAGCTGTATTAAGTCAATGTTCAGTTCTAAACTTTTGAAAGAACAATGATAATGTTTTGTTGAGAGTGACAAACGTTTCAGAGTTACGAACAACCTCCATTCCTGGGGTGTTGTAACTCTGAGGTTCTACTGTAATCAACACATGTCTCAGCAAAGGCAGCATCCTGCACCCAGGGTAGCAGGCAGTCCAGTCCAGTCCATGCCATTGGTTTTGCCAATGCTGTCTGCATACACAAATCGCTTTGTCCCCTGTCCTCCTCCCCCAGGTCTGTAAACCTCCCACCTCTGCAGCAGCCAGAGGCTAAGTGCTGAGCGGTCTGTTAAGTGCAGTTTGTTCTGTTCTGGCAATGAGTGACCAACAAGTCACGCAGCCCATTGGATTACTGTTATGGTGCTTACAAAGTGGAACCTGCCCCAGGGAGTTCTCTCTGACCCAGATTCCCAGAGCCTACAGGGAACACACTCCGACACCACAGTGCTGGGCAGCAAAATAAGAACCTCGCTAGCTGAATAGCCTGACAAACACCATCCCAGGTCAGCTCTGAGAATCTAATCAGTTCTGACTACAGCCTCAGTGATATCAAGGTCTTGTATTAAAACCCTGGCCCTGAGGAACTGCTCCGGGGGTGCGTTTCAGAATGTTTGTCTTTGTTATGAAATGGCTCCCCTTCATGCTTTTCATAAGCAAGAAGCAACAGTTGTAATATTCAGGGCTGGGAGGACAGCATGCCTTTGTCTGTCTGTCTGTCTGTGGATTTATGCCAGGTGCTGATCAGCACAATGTCTGAGTGCCAGGGTTACAGGCTATTTACTGACACCAGGTCTATTGTTTGTCCCTTTAAAGCAGCCCAAGGTATCACCCCTGGAATTCGGATCTTAGCATCATTGACTGGAGACAGTCTCAAATCAAGCCCAAATGTTGGGGTACTGGAAATCTGAATCCTACTTCTGTGGCTTGCATCAACCTCAGTCACTGTTCTGGCCCTGTAGCACCCACGCCCTCTCTGACCCGGCTCACTCACACTCTGGGTGCAAGAATCTCCCCCTCTGCAGCAGCCCCTGTGATGCAGCCTCCCTGTTCTCACTGCCACATGCACACACTCGCTTTCTGTTTTCAACGCTCATTTCAGACCACATCTCTCCTCTGGCCCAGACCTCATACTCCTTCTCCCCCGACCCCATCCCCCACTTTCTGACTTTGCAACCTGTTTAACTCTGAGACACATCTGGGATTGCAGTTTTTAGGAAAGGGGCTGTGCAAGAGAAAACTGAGATGTATTGAACCCAGATTCTTATTGCACAGCTTCAATAGTGCAAAGTGGCTGGCTCGCCACACACACACACACTTCTGAAAATCTCTGGTTATTGTTAAAATTGCTGCAGAAAATGGGGCCATTGAAAGGTGACTTGGAAGGATTCCCTCCTCCTAGCACAAAACTGATTTTATTGCCTGTCATTAGTCAGGAGACACAGTCAGCTCCCTCCTGGCGCCTCACCAGTTGAGCACAGGCATTGTTTGCTGTTTGCACTGGCCACTCACAGGGCTGTAGCAAATGGGCACTAAACCACAGCTGAGCAGCAGGGGCAGCTTCCCACGGTTTCTTTTACTACAAGCTTCCAGGGGAGGAACCCTGCCTCCCTGGCTGACATTAGCACAAAGCTAGCGCAGAGGTTCTACAGATCTCACACACACACACACACAAGCTCCAAATTTTGCAGCTTGAACTCAGCTCGGAAAGGGCACAGTCCTCCTCCTTGTGACTAAAGCGATGTCTACACTGCACACCTTACAGCGGAACAGCTGTGCCTCTGCAACCAGGCTGCTCTAAGGCACGCAGCATCGCCGCTCTTTGTCAGCAGGAGGTAACTCGACAAAATACAACCACCCCCAACGAGGGGCAGTAGCTTTGTCGTCAGGAGAGCGTCTCCCACCAACAAAGCGCTGTCCACACTGTTTTTTCACACCCCTGACCGACAAAAGTTTTACTGATGAAAGTGCAGACATAGAAAGTTGAAAGCGAATTCAAAAGGAACATGACATCTTACAGAGCTCCCCAGCCTGGCGAAGCAGCAGCCAGAGGGTGCAGCAGAGACAAGGCAAGGGCAGATTAAGGCAGACCAGGGCCAGGAGCCAGCAAATCCTCCGGCTCTTCTTCAGGCTTCTCCCAGCCCAAACACTCCCAGCCCCGATTCTTCCTTCCACATTCCCGTCACAGGCTCAGCAATGCTGCCCTGCCTCAAACTGATGGCTCAGTTCAGGATCCCCTGGGGCCCAGAAACCCCTGGAGTAAACAGCAAACCCCTGGTTTCATTGCAGCACAATCAGGCCCCATAGCTGCCCTAGTGCACAGGCTGCAGGATCTACCCACCAGCTGAAAGCACGCGCCACTACTCCAGAGCTAGCCCCACACCGTTGCTCAGTGCTCAGGGACGTCTTGACAGGTGCAATACACCCCATTCCATGCATGCTCTGTCGGCTGCCTGCACTGTGGGAAACTGGGGTTCTGCTGGTTGGTCAGTGGTGACCTTGCCCTGTGCCCCAAAAAGCAGACAGACAAATATTCCCGTCATTAGCCAGTACTTACAGTCTGAGCCATAGGGTCACATCACAGCTCTCCACGGACATCCAGGGCACAGAAGGGTGACTCCAGCGGAGTTTCTGCTAACGACGGGTTGGGGCAATAAACACTTTGCCGGTACATGGCTGGGGGACCTTTTCCTCCATCACTTCCATCTGGCTGTGGGTTCACGCAGATTGTTAAACCCTGGGTTCAGTGAGCATGTCTGGCTTTGCACAGCAGAGCGTGGCCCTTTGGCTTTCTCTCCTAGTCACCCCTCCACTCAGCCAGGATAGTGCCTGAGGCTTTGGGGGTTTAACCATTTCCTGACAGAGGAGCTGGCTAGAAGTTGAGACATTTGGAGACAGAACACGACCTCTGTCCATTGGAATTTACCGACGCCAGACCAAGCCATCCCTGGGTTTCTGCACCGCCTGTCTTGGCTCGTGTCTGGCCCTGCACGCAGCACTGGAGAGCTACGGGACGGGAGGTGGCTTTTCAGTCCTCTCCATAGTCACATTCACCCTGTAGCTGGCTCTAAGATTCACCAGGAATCCTAAAAAAACCCAGCATTCCTCTCTGTTCTCATCTGCCTTTGTCGTTCTAAAGTTTAGGAGCGGGCGTGGGTTTATTCCCCCTCTTTCTTGTATTATCACCTATGCAGAAAGGAGTAACCACTTCCAGGCTGGTCTGATCCTTCCCCAGACAGGCCGGAGGTGGTCCTGTGCTGTGGATCAAGCCGCTAGCCTGTTGAGATGGGCCTGGGAGCGCCCTGTTCTGGAGACCCATCCCACAGCCTAAGTGTCCCTTTGATTTTGCTGTAGATAGCCCAGTAAAGGAAGGAAAGTGCCATACAGCAGAATCTCTCGCCCCTTGCCCCACGGGCTGCTGCAGGAGGGAAGCACACTGGAGGTGGATCTGAGGCCCCTGGAAAACCTGCTGCAGTTGCAGCTGAGTGAAGATCAGTTGAAGGGACAGAGGTGGCTGCAGAGATACTCAGCTCTGCCATGTGGAGCCCTTTTGGTACTCTGCACACCGGCGAGTCTCAAAGCGCTTTACCAAAGTAGCGCAGGGAATGATGCGATTCGCCCAACACCGCACGGCAGGCCAGCAGCAGACTTGGGAATAGAACCCAGGAGTCCTGACTCCCAGTCCTGTGGTCTAACCACAGACAAGCCCCACACACGGCCTTTGCCCGTACAAAAGCCGCAAGCATCTCCAGGCTGAGGCTGTCATACCGAACTGAGCCGTGCGTCCTTCGGAACGACGACGTGCGCAGAACAGTAGCTCCCTGGCGTTGGAGAATGTCCTCTCTCTCCACTGGGAGTTGGGAGTCCCCCCAGGCTCAAGTCCGGGGAGCCTGCTGGATGCAAGGCTGCCATTCCCTACTGCCTTTCAGAGAGGCAGCAGCTTTATGCAAGAGGTTCCGAGGCCCTTGAAAATGCCCTGGGACCTTTAGATGGCCCAGCATCTAGCTGTGCCTGTGGCAAGAGCATACGCAGTGTTGCCTTCGTCACGCCAGGTCAGGTGCAGCTCACTTTTCTCACCCAACT